CCCTCGCCGAAGGAAACATGCACAAGCCCGAGCGATGCCAAGCCGAAACCACCGGTGGCGGTTTGCCTCTGCGCGTGGCCGGGCGACCGACCGGGCGCGGCGGGCCTCGCCCGCGGAGGGCGCGGGAACGACGCGAGAGACGCGAGGTCGCCAGCGGCGGACACGAGCCTCGACGACGGCGACGCGAAGACGACGACGACGGCAACGACGAACGACGAAGACGAAGGCGCAGGCGCAGGCGCAGGCGCGGGCGCAGACGTCGAGGCGTCGACAGCGACGACGACGCGACGACGACAACGACGCGACGACGAGGACAGCGGCGTCGGCGTCGACGGCGACCCCCGACGGCAAATGCGAGAGGACGGCGACGACGACGACGACGAAGAAGGCGACGGCGACCCTCGACGACGACGACGACGACGACCCGAGGCGGGCCTCGCCGCGGAAGGCGCGGGCGCCCTGCGGGGCCGGGAGGAAGGCGCTGGCGCACCGCAGGGCGGCACAGCAGGCCGCGAGCACGGCGGCGGTCGCGGCGGCGGAGCGCGCCTGGTGGCGGGAGGGCGTCTGGCACGTCGTCATCGTGGTCGTTGTCGTCGTCGTTGTCGTCGTGGTCGTTGTCGTCGCGGTCGTCGCCGACGCCGTCGTCGTCGTCGCCGTCGTCGTCGTCGTCGTCGTCGTCATTTCCCTGGGCGGGGGGGGAACGCAGGGAGGAGGTGGGCAGAGCGCAGCACGATCGTATCTACTTGGGCTTCCAGCAACTGCCTGTGCGGCTCTGGCCGGCGCTTGAGGGCACGACGAATGGGTTTGTGTCCCAGGCCATCTCTCCGTCCGTGGGTATCCTGCATCACCTCGTCCTCGTCCTCATCATCGCTACCGACATCACCATCATCATCGTCCACATCCCCATCCGGCGTTATCATCATCATCATCGTCAACAACAGCACAAGCAACAGCATCATCACCTGCTGCGACAGGATTTCTGGCACGACGATGAGGTCTGTCTCCCACCCGCCTCAAGAGCAACGCGGGGGGCGAATGCATTTTGTTCCCGTGGGTCACATAGGACTCTGCACAAGGGAGGCTGAGAGGCATGAGAGGCTTGGGATTCACAATGTGTAATGCACGCATAGTCGTACTGCAACGTATCCGTAATAATGTTGGCTTGAAGTTTTCGCGTTGAGTGGGGAAGCACTTGCAAGTCTTTGAGATCGAAACTTCGTTCGTTTCAGAGGTCATTCCAACATCGTCTCTGCATTGATCGTTGGTCTCATCTTTCTAGGCGGCTCCTCCTCCCATCCCTCCTTCTCCATCGCCTCCCCCGTTTCCACCTCTGCACCGCGAGCACTCCACTAGCCCGCGAGTGCAGCAACACGCATGTGAAATCTCAACTAGCTTGCAAGCGCTAGCCGTATCGCGCATGTGAGGACCTCAGCGTGCCTGTGATCACCGAAAGGTAGGCACACCGCAGGCGCAAACAGCTGAGGTTTAAGCTGTCGAATAGATCACTGATGCTGTTCCCTCACTCCCTCCCTCCCTCCCTCCTCTCCCCCCTCCGCCCTCGTCCTCCCCATCGTCCTGATGCACGACCTCGCCCTCGTCCTGTGAGCCTAGCAGCTTGCCTGTCGGCACCGCGGTCCGATTGCAGCCAGCGTTCGGCGAGGGAGGCGGGACCCCGCCAGAAACAGCAGGATGGCCTGAACGAGACACGCGCCCGCACAACAGTGCGAGAATTAGGCCCTGCCAGCAGGGCGCCACGATACGGCCGAACCTAAGGCAAAATACATCCCTTCAAAAACATCATGAGACCCGCCGGCCAAGCGGAGGAACGTTCAAAGGACCCTCCCCCAAAGATGCACAAGAACACCCAACAAACACCAAGGATATTAGGGCACCCTCCCCAAACCGACATCGATTTTATACCCCGTTCCGACCGAACCTGCGACGTTGAAGGGAGTCTTGGTAAGATCCTGTAGAAGAAGCGAGTCCTCTGGGCGCTGTGTCCAAATTCTAGCACACTGTGTCAGAACTGCACGTGAGCTGCAAAGGGTGATTCCAGCAGGATCGCGTGGAAACTGTAAGGGGTTCCATCAGGATCGCGTGGGAGCTGCAAAGAGTCAGCAATATCACAGCCTGCGAACATCACACGGCATGCCTGTGAGCGGCTTTCTGGCGCTACCGTCGCGAGGGGGAAGGGATCGGAGTGGGGGCCACGCGCTGTTCAGGAGGGACAACAAAACGGACAATTGACGACCTCGTCATCGTCGGGACGAGCCCGCATTATCGTCGACCCCGTCATCGTCATCGTCGAGACGGGCGCGCGTCGTCGTAGACCCCGTCGTCGTCATCGTCATCGTCGGCCCCGTCATCGCCATCGTCGACCTCGTCCTCGTCGACCTCGTCGACGCCATGCTCGACCTCCTCATCGTCATCGACACGAGAGCGCGTCATTGACGACCTCAGCACCGTCGACCTCGTCTTCGTCACCGTCGCCGCGAGCGCGAGCGGAGTTTGACGCCCGCGGTCGCACCATCCGCCGAGCGGCAGGGCGGCGGAGGCCGGGGCGGACGGCACAAGGCGGCGGGGGCTCGAAACAGCCTCGAGCCAGGGCGGCGCGGCGCAGCACGGCAGGAACGCGACGGCGGCGACGACGACGAGGGTCCTCCTCCTCCTTCAACTCAAGGGGCCCAAGGACACACAAATGAATACACACACATAAAGACGATTCCCCATATTTCCCCATATTTTCTGGGTTCTTGTCTTCCCGCCCAATTCCCATCTTTTCCCATATTCTCTCGGGGGCCGACGATCACTTGTGTCTGTGTTTGTTCCCCTCCTGACTCCTGGACGCCCGGCCCGCTTGCATTGCTCGACGGACCGCGCCATCTCGAAGCTCGGGTCGGGCGAAAGGGGGGGATAGCAAAGGGGGGGTTTGAGAATCAGCTCACGTAGCTGATTTTCCAGGCGCCTCCCGGCGCCGGAGGCGGCTATGTATCGAGGAGTGGGCCCCTCGGTGAAGCCGAAACCAGCTGCATGCAGCAAATTTCGTAACCCCCCCTTTCCCAATGCCCCCTTTCGCCCGGCCCGAGAAGCGGGGGTTCCCAGAGATCCCGGCGCCCGTCTTCGAGCTGGGCGCGCGCGCGGGTAAACTTCAGGCCCAGGGACCACCACAGACCGACCCGACTTGACAAATACACCCTGCGAAATGTTTTAGGAATCATGGGTTAAGAAATTCATGATCTCAGAATTTAGAGAAAAAACAAGAATGTATATTCAAATCTTGAGATTTACATTGAACATTAAGCATGATCGAGACTCTGGCCGAAAACTTGGGTTTTCTTAGGCATCGCCTAGAGCGTAGCGCAGAACAAAAAAAAGATGGGGTTATGGGTTCTGGTCAAGACTTTGCACGATCTTGCAACTTCTCGCAACGTGGGATAGCGAGGTGCATCCACAACCACCGCCTCGGGAAAGCGTCACAGCCGGACCTGGGACAGAAGAACACCTTTCAGGAACATGAGAGCCTCCGCTGGCCAAACTGAGCAACATTCAAAGGCACCCTCCCCCCCGAAGGATGACACACCCAACAAACACGAAGGACATCAGGGCACCCTCCCCGAACCGGCGTCGATCTTATGACCCTGTGCTCGTGACAGTACCCCCTTGGGGGGAATAAAATTTGGGGTCCAGGCGTGATTATATATATATGTATAATCAAAAAAACCTTTTCCCGGAAATATCAGCATAATGATGAATGTGATGACGATGATCATGATGATCAAGGTGATCCGAAACGTCCATGAGAATAATGAACCAATCCACATGAGTCTTTTGGGAATCCATACGAATTCGATGTACATCCATAGGACTCCTTACGATATCCATAATATCCCCTCAGAAATCCTTAGTTTCCCCCTCGACGCGCATGGGATTCTCTAAGGATTCAACAGCTTGTCGTAGGACATGTTGAGGAATTGTTAGAAAATCTTTCGGAGGAGGATGAGGAGGAGCACCAGGACCGGCTTTCCAACAACAACTTCGATTCGGGACCTAAGGCTTTTTATTACTGAAACTAAATTTTGTTCAATCGTTTTCAATAGCGCATGTGTGTCCATGGCGGCTCTTTGGCGGGAATAAGAAACAGCGTGGAAAACAAGCTCGGGAGCCTTAGGAGTCCTTGCTACTCAACATAAGAAGGGAGCAAGTTCGCCCCCGCGATTGCAACATTCGGCCTTGCCGCCTCTCTTCCCTGACTCAACCTGTATTCTAGATTGGCCGGGGATAATCGACACTCAGTGGTGAAGGGGGGGGGATTATTCATTATCCGGGCCCGGGGTTAATACCTCGATCCGACCGTATGTGAGGCAAGAACCTGCGACGTTGAAAGGAGTCTTGCCAGGCTCCTGTAGCAGGAGCGAGTCCGTTGGGCGCTGCGTCCAAATCCAAATGTACTGTATAAGAGCTGCGCGGAGGCTGTGGAAGGTGACTCCAGCAGGATAGCATGGAAACTGCAAGGGATTCCAGCAGGGTGCCCTCCCCGAACCGACCTCGACCTTGTACCTCGATCCGACCGTAGATGCCTCGATCTTAGAGCCCGATCCGACCTCGATCTTCTATACCTCGATCGGGCCCAACTTGTAGGGGATGAACAAAAATGGCATGAACACAAAAACTCGGAGGGCCGCGCGGATGTCTCAGATCGGCGCTGGACACCCCTCCCTGGCGCGCTCCGCGCGCCAGGGGCGGCGCCGCCAGGGGGGTCCAGTACGGAGGGGATGGAGGAGGAGGAGGAGGAGGAGGAGGAGGAGGAGGAGGAGGAGAAGGAGGAGGCGGGATGATGATGCCCGCGTAGCCGGGGGCGCACGCCGCTCCGTGCGCGCCCGCCGATGGGGGCCCCCGAGGGCCCCCGCCGCGATGGACCAGTCGAGGGCGCCGCCGACGACGCAGCCCATGTGCCGCGGGGGGGGCCGGGGGGGCGGCCAGCCGCGAGACGGCCAGGCCCCCTACCCCCCTGGCCCGCAGCCTCCCCCGCGGCCTCCGGGCCCCAGGCCAGCCTCCGCGGCGCGCCGCTGGAGCAACGCGGCCTCCAGCTTCGCCCGCTCCGCCTGGAGCGCGGCCTGGCGGCCCCCCGCGGGCGGCGCGAACGCCACCAGCGCACCGCCAGCCGCCGCCGCCGCACCGGCAGCGCTTCCCGCGGCGGCGGCACCAGCAGCAGCGGCTCCAGCGCACGGCGCCTCCGCCTCCGTGCCGGTGCGCCGCAGCCGCCTCCGCGCGGCGCGCGAAGGCGGCACGTCCGCCCACTCGTCGTTGAAGTCCGAGCCCTCGTCGACGCCCATGGGCACGGCCTCGAGCTGCATGCCCGTTCCGGCGCCGCCACCGCCCGCCACCGCAAGCGCGCCGCCGCCTCCGCGTCCAGCATCTCGAGCCTCGTCTCGCCGCCGTTGCGCGAGGCGCTGGCGGCGTCGCCTGCGCCGCTCCAGCTTGGCCGCAGAGGCGGCAGCGGGAGCAGCAGCAGCAGGACCAGCTCCAGGAGGCGCGTCGGCAGCAGCAGGCGCCGCTGGCCGTTCGCGCAGCGCGAAGAGCGCTGCGCTCACTGCCGAGCGCGCCACGGCCGCCACCGTGCGCCTTGGAGCCTTTGCAGTCACGGCTCCCCGCACAGCCGCCTCGACGACGGCGGCGGCGCCCGCCATGAGAGCCCCTCTAGGCTCAAGCCACCGCGGAGGGGGGCCGAGCCGTGCGTCCGCTTGAGCCAAAATGAGGAGGAGGAGGCGGGGGAAGAGGAGGAGGAGGAGGAGGAGGAGGAGGAGGAGGATGCGGGGGAAGAGGAGGAGGAGGAGGAGGGAGGGGAGGAGGAGGCGGGGGAAGAGGGGGAGGAGGAGGACTCGCCTTCGAAGAACACGCGATTATATACCCTTCGGTGATGGTTTGCCCCACACGGCAGGATGCGACTGTTCGTTTCGGGCATATACAAAACTCCCGACCAGCCTCGAACACCCTGCATACCTTTACAGCGGCCGGCAGGCCCCAACGGCCCCGTTGGTCCCTCGATCTAGCCGTGCGTCTTCGACGAATGACGACTGCATGCCGCCTCCAGACCCCACGAGTCCCGGTGGTCTCGGGGGGTCCCACCTCGCGCCTTCGACGAAAAACTGCCTCCAGCGAGATCCCAACGAAAATCCAACACGCTTCAGATCAACAAACCCAGACTCGGCTGCGGGACTTGCCGTGTGCAACTGGAAATAAATACGTCAGAGCTAACATGGCGGCGACCGTGCCGCGAACGCCACCAGGGGGCAGCCGCCGGGCGCCGCCGCAGCTCGCCGCCGCAGCCCGCCAGCCACACCACGGCGCGCCTGCACGGTTGCCGCAATCCGTCGCTGCCAGCGGCCCTCTCGTGCGCGAGAGGCCCACTGGACAGCAACGGATGGCGGCGACCGTGCCTCGAACGCCACAAGGGGGCAGCTGCTGGGCGTCGCCAGGCGCCGCCACAGCTCGCCGCCGCAGCCCGCCAGCCACACCACGGCGCGCCTGCACGGTTGCCGCAATCCGTCGCTGCCAGCGGCCCTCTCGTGCGAGAGAGGCCCACTGGACAGCAACGGATGGCGGCGACCGTGCCTCGAACGCCACCAGGGGGCAGCTGCTGGGCGTCGCCAGGCGCCGCCACAGCTCGCCGCCGCAGCCCGCCAGCCACACCACGGCGCGCCTGCACGGTTGCCGCAATCCGTCGCTGCCAGCGGCCCTCTCGTCGAGAGAGGCCCACTGGACAGCAACGGATGGCGGCGACCGTGCCTCGAACGCCACCAGGGGGCAGCTGCTGGGCGTCGCCAGGCGCCGCCACAGCTCGCCGCCGCAGCCCGCCAGCCACACCACGGCGCGCCTGCACGGTTGCCGCAATCCGTCGCTGCCAGCGGCCCTCTCGTGCGAGAGAGGCCCACTGGACAGCAACGGATGGCGGCGACCGTGCCTCGAACGCCACCAGGGGCAGCTGCGGGCGTCGCCAGGCTTGGCTGCTGGGCGTCGCCAGGCTTGCCGCCACAGCTCGCCGCCGCAACCGCCAGCCACACCACGGCGCGCCTGCACGGTTGCCGCAATCCGTCGCTGCCAGCGGCCCTCTCGTGCGAGAGAGGCCCACTGGACAGCAACGGATGGCGGCGACCGTGCCTCGAACGCCACCAGGGGGCAGCTGCTGGGCGTCGCCAGGCGCCGCCACAGCTCGCCGCCGCAACCCGCCAGCCACACCACGGCGCGCCTGCACGGTTGCCGCAATCCGTCACTACCAGCGGCCCTCTCTGTCGAGAGAGCCCACTGGACAGCAACGGATGGCGGCGACCGTGCCTCGAACGCCACCAGGGGCAGCTGCCGGGCGTCGCCAGGCCCGCCACACCACAGCCCGCCAGCCACACCACGGCGAGCCTGCACGGTTGCCGCAATCCGTCGCTGCCAGCGGCCCTCTCCGTCGAGAGAGCCCACTGGACAACAACGGATAGCGGCGACCGTGCCTCGAACGCCACCAGGGGCAGCTGCCGGGCGTCGCCAGGCCTGCCACACCACAGCCCGCTAGCCACACCACGGCGCGCCTGCACGGTTGCCGCAATCCGTCGCTGCCAGCGGCCATCTCCTTCGAGAGAGCCCACTGGACAGCAACGGATGGCGGCGACCGTGCCTCGAACGCCACCAGGGGCAGCTGCCAGGCGGCGACCGTGCCTGGAACGCCACCAGGGGCAGCTGCAGGGCGTCGCCAACCCCGCCGCCACAGCCCGCCAGCCACACCACGGCGCGCCTGCACGGTTGCCGCAATCCGTCACTACCAGCGGCCCTCTCTGTCGAGAGAGCCCACTGGACAGCAACGGATGGCGGCGACCGTGCCTCGAACGCCACCAGGGGCAGCTGCCGGGCGTCGCCAGGCCTGCCACACCACAGCCCGCTAGCCACACCACGGCGCGCCTGCACGGTTGCCGCAATCCGTCGCTGCCAGCGGCCATCTCCTTCGAGAGAGCCCACTGGACAGCAACGGATGGCGGCGACCGTGCCTCGAACGCCACCAGGGGCAGCTGCCCGGGCGTCGCCAGGCGCCGCCACAGCTCGCCGCCCCCGCCAGCCACACCACGGCGCGCCTGCACGGTTGCCGCAATCCGTCGCTGCCAGCAACCCTCTCGTGCGAGAGAGGCCCGCTGGGCAACAACGGATGGCGGCGACCGTGCCTCGAACGCCACAAGGGGCAGCTGCCGGGCGTCGCCAGGCGCCGCCACAGCTCGCCGCCCCCGCCAGCCACACCACGGCGCGCCTGCACGGTTGCCGCAATCCGTCGCTGACAGCGGCCCTCTCGTGCGAGAGAGGCCCGCTGGACAGCAACGGATGGCGGCGACCGTGCCTCGAACGCAACCAGGGGGGGCAGCTGCGGGCGTCGCCAGGGCCGCCGCACAGCTCGCCGCCGCAGCCCGCCAGCCACACCACGGCGCGCCTGCACGGTTGCCGCAATCCGTCGCTGCCAGCGGCCCTCTCGTGCGAGAGAGGCCCGCTGGACAGCAACGGATGGCGGCGACCGTGCCTCGAACGCCACCAGGGGGCAGCTGCCGGGCGTCGCCAGGCGCCGCCACAGCTCGCCGCCCCCGCCAGCCACACCACGGCGCGCCTGCACGGTTGCCGCAATCCGTCGCTGCCAGCGGCCCTCTCGTGCGAGAGAGGCCCGCTGGACAGCAACGGATGGCGGCGACCGTGCCTCGAACGCCACCAGGGGGCAGCTGCCGGGCGTCGCCAGGCTGCGACGGAGCCCTTCCGCCAGCTTCACCGCGGCGCGCCTGCACGGTTGCCGCAATCCGTCGCTGCCAGCGGCCCTCTCCTTCGAGAGAGAGGCCCACTGGACAGCAACGGATGGCGGCGACCGTGCCTCGGCCAACTGGACTCATTACTTCATGCACTCGACCAGGTTCATGACGCTGCAGTCCAGCGAGGAGGCGCCTGCACGGTTGCCACAGTCAAGAACATCTCCCCATGTCACCCCTCCCTAAGTGTGACCGACGAGCGACAGGGCAAGCACATCTTGTCACTGGGGGGGCAACGCTGCAAATTGCGAGATGGCTCATCGCGAAGGGCAACACGGCCAATGAGCTCACTGATCTCTAGTGACCGCAAGACCCCACCAATGACTCCAGAGCTGAACTGGCTGTACTTACACGCGTTCCCGAAAAACAACTCATTGCCTCATCAGACCTTCTCCGTGCTCACTCACCTGGCCACACATTGACCAGCGATACGCCATCCACGGCACGGCCAAATCACAAGATCACAAACTAATCGCGGACAGGGCAGTAGGGATATTTCACCGAGGGAACCAAAAAGGTTGGGCAACACACACAACACCCACCACAAGCGACATTGACGGGCCTGTGTTCCACCCCCACCACCATAACTTGGAGGGGGGAGGAGGTGGAGGATGAGGAGGAGGAAGACGAAGAGGATGAGGAGGAAGACGACGAGGAAGAAGAGGAGGAGGAGGAGGAGCAGGAGGAGGACCCCCAACCCCTCCTACTTATGGTGGCGGTAGGGACAACGAGCCCATCACGCCATTCAGAGCCTGGCAGACGACGGTCGGATGCAAGGCGAGCGCGCCTCGGCACCTCCGGCGGCGGCGTGCCGGCGTCCGCCGCACGCCGCTGGACAGCAGCGGCTCGATGCCACGTCGCCCTCAGAGGGGGAGCAAAAACAGCTGCACGATCCCACGCCGCTGTGAGAAACTGGCTCTCGAGAGGCCTCCAGTCTGGAGTTGGCGGAGGAGAACTCGCCATCGCTCGGACGTCCATTCCCTGTGTTTTTTGTGCGGTTTCGTGCGTGTTTTTCTCGACAAGTGATCAAGGATGCTCCTCGATGACTTCGCCGAGGAAAAAATGCACACGTCCGAGCGATGCCAAGAGAAACTACATAAGCATGTCCAGTCGCAGCCCCGCGCGGATTTCTTGCATCGGCGCTGGGACCCCCCTCCCTATCGAACGGAGCGCGTCGGGAGCGGCGGCCATGGCGCCGCCACGGGGCCCAGCACCGATCCATCCGCACGAAACTCAACCAATTCATGTCGTATGCCGATCTCGCGTAAGGTGCGGCAGATGAGCGACGAAAAGAAACGGGTCTTACGCAAGATGGTATGGCGACCTTACGAGGTGGCTTACGCGGGCCGCCAGCGCGGCACGCTACACCGGAGACGGGGACGTTTACGCGCAGATTCTACCTAGAATAATTAGCAGGTTCACATCGGCCCTCATCCCTCCTCATTCCCATCCTCCTCTTCCTCCTCCTCCTCCTTCTCCTCCTCCTCCTCCTTCTGCTGCTCCTCTCGTCCTCGTCCTCATCCCCCTCCTCATCCTCGCGAAAGGGTCGGCGGCGCTGGCCGCAAGGCCTTCGCAAGAGCTGGTTCGCAGCGGCCCTAATCTGGGACGCATGAGGACGTACTAGTGTTATGTGCTTCTGTTGAAGACGCCGCAACTACAGAGTCTTATGGTATTAGGTCTGGCGTGGCCCCCTACAGGGGGACTTTGGACGAAAAAAAGAAAAATGGTTCAAACAAATTCGAGAAAACCAAAAAAATACTCAAGAGATCGTCCCCAGACTATTGTTGGACTATGTTTTGAATATTCGTCCTGTAGGGGGACACGCCCGACTGAATTGTGGTACATCGTTTCCCGAAGCTGAACGCGGAAACGCCGTGCCGAGCTTGGAACCGTCGATCTCGGTCAGCGTCAATTCGTGAACCGTCCCGGCGAATCGGCGACGGCCGACATGGGTTATGACCAAGTAGGGAAACGAACTCTATATACACCGACGCTTTTCCCGACCCTGCGCCGAAATGCGCACAGGAACGCGGATTCTGGTGTATACGGGACCCTGGTGTATACATCTTTCGCTGTTTCCCCAGGGAGCGGATCAAAAACCATACACCACACCGCCCCGACGTCGTCCCCGACCCTCGAAAACTCCGGGGATTGCACAACAGCCCACCACTAGTGATGTATACGTTCCAATGTCCGACAGAGATCGGCATCGATAAACTGCCGCGACATCTTGGTCATGGACCATGTCGGCCGTCGCCTAGGCCTCGCGCGCCGGCCCATGGGGGCAACCGCCGAGCCTCGCCGGCCACGGCCCACCGCCGCTGCTGCCCAGCCCCGCCCGGCAGCCGGGCCGCGCCTGAGGACAACGACAGACGTCTGCTGGCAGGAGCGGCGAAGAGATCCTCACCCGCGCCCTCGCGGTCTGGATTCCGGGTCGCGATCCCGCGGATACGCGGTCGCACGGATGTGGTCCGCCCGGGACATCTGCGAGGAAACGGTCCGCATCCGCGGGGTCGCGGCCCAGGGGCCCGGCCCGCGAGGCCGCGCATACGGATATTTTTTTGTTGCCCACGATACGAGCAGGCATGAGATAGACACTTCAGGCAGAAGAAGGTGGGTGAGCCTTCCTAGGAGCCTCTGTGGGCCTCCGTGGCCCTATCATAAAAGTGATTTCGGCTGGACTTCGTCCAAATGTCGGCCGCCCCTGATTTCGCCCAAACGTGCACCAAATACGAGAACGAAACTGGACCACATCTCCAAAAAACACACAAGGCCTTGTGGGACCCTCTGAGGCTCCCACGAAGGACAACACAAAAGTCAGGCAACCGAGACAAAACAAGCGAGGGGCAGACCCCGCCAGCGTGCCCACGCCACCCCCTGCTATCTCACGCGCGGCACAAGTCCAAAACAAGGGCGGGCTGCAGCACGCTGCGCCGCGCTTTCATGCATACACATGTATGTTTATCCATAGATATACAGATGCACTCATGCAGGCGTAAAATAGATTCACATATCTATAAGTACACACATATCTGTATATATGTGTATATGTATATGTACATATGTTTCTCTCTCTCTCTCTATATATATATATATGTAAATGTGTTCTATCCTATATAAGGGGTGCGGCAGTTCCCCCTACGACGCCTACGCCCAGAACGAATGAGCATAAACTTTCGGATATCCGCGCGCGGAACGCGCCAGGGGCGGCGTCTGAGGCCAGCGCAGGTCCAAGAAATCTGCGCGGACATCCGACAGCGTATGTTTCGAAAAGGGGGGAACATAAAGAGAGAGGGGGGAGGAGAACACGAGCACGAACCAAACATACTGAGCAGGAACGATTCTGAGACTAGACAAGGACAGGACGAGGGAGGGAGATTAAGAGAGAGAGAGAGAGAGAGGAGATAAAGAGAACGATACATATATAGTGTTCCGCTCCTTCCTCCCGCATGCCCGGCCGCTCTTCTGATGACGGCGCGTGGCAAGAAGTCTCGGTGAAGAGGCACGCCCTATGGCGTGGCAGCGGGGTGGGGGACACAGGGCGATAGCCGGCAGAAGAACTGCAGGCTACCTGACTGTGACACCCAACAGCTGCAGGTTGGGGGGCCCTCTGGCGCGCCCAACCCCCTAAACCGACAGGGCGCGAGGAGCCAACCTACGCCCACCGCGGCCAAACAGGCGAGTGGGCGGCGGATGGCGCCCCGAAGATCATGCTAAAAGTGGCGGCGGGGAGGTGGAGGTGCCGAAATGCCTGCGGGTGCTATCACTCCGCACTAGCATCCGGGGCGTATTCATAGTGCTCCGCTCCTTCCTCCCGCATGCCCGGCCGCTCTTCTGATGACGGCGCGTGGCAAGAAGTCTCGGTGAAGAGGCACGCCCTATGGCGTGGCAGCGGGGTGGGGGACACAGGGCGATAGCCGGCAGAAGAACTGCAGGCTACCTGACTGCGACACCCAACAGCTGCAGGTTGGGGGGCCCTCTGGCGCGCCCAACCCCCTAAACCGACAGGGCGCGAGGAGCCAACCTACGCCCACCGCGGCCAAACAGGCGAGTGGGCGGCGGATGGCGCCCCAAGTCTCCCTTTCTACGGAGTCAGAACGGCCTCACAAGGCGGCATCTTGGCGAAGCAGCCCTGCTCTGTAGCGGAGCTGCTGCTGCGTCGCCCGCGGGATCGCCATCTCCGTCAACAGCTGGAGCCCCTCCGTGACGTAGATCCTGGCTGTGGTCTGCGAGCGCCAGCGGCCTAACTCCATAAGAGTTGGCATGTCACGCCGCCTCCGGAAATGCTCTGTGGCGCCACCCCGCCGGATGCTGTACCAGCGGAGGCCAAAATTCAGATTGAGTGCAGCTGCAGCTCTGGCCAGACGGGTCCGGTGGGTAGTGGCCCGCACATCTGACAGGGGTTCAGTGCAACCCCGGTGCTGCATGTAGACGTAAAGGAGTTTGACAGTCCAAGGGTCGAGCAACGGAAGCGACTCCAAGCAGCCGCCACGCGCGCCTCCTTTGCTGTGTGGAAGGGCCCACACCCCAGACGTCAAGTCACCAGCAAGTGTGAATTGAGAACGAGTGGCGTTGAAGAGCTCCATGGGCCTCGCGAGCGTGTCAAAACCGAGGAGGATGAAGAGCCCGGTGCAACGCCATTGCTGTGCAAAGCAGTATTGTGCGAGCGCGTGCGCCCACAGTTTCGGAAGTGGCGGGGCTCGCGAAGGCAACTCTGAGCGCTGCCATGCGGTCAGGAGGCGCCACGGCCCTCGGATGCAGCCTCGAACTTGAGGAACAAAATGTGAAATACCAGAAAGCGCATCCGCGGCCATGGAGCGAGGCTCGCCTGTTTCCCATAACTCTTCGATGTACCCTGACAGCAATGTGTCAAGCGCCGCTGCTGTATTCGGCCAGCGGCGGCCAGAAGTGACGATGTGCTGCAAAAAGCTCCGGACAGCGTCAGAATACCGGAGCCGGGTGGCTGGCCGAACTAAAAGATCACGCAGCCTGCCCAGAGAGCGGCGCTCCGCCGCTTTGCCGCCGCGGCCGGCTGCGCCTGCAGCCGCCTGTCCGCGGCGGCGGCCCCTGCTCAGGGGTGCTCCAACCTCCGCCGCTTCCACCGACTTGG